AGCGCCGCCTGGCGGGCGGGACCCCACGGCCGTCCCGCTACCGACACGGCCCCGCCGGGCCTCAGACAAAGGGAGCCGCCTCCTGCACGCCGCCGCACCGGGGGGCTCGGGGCCCCTCATTTCGGGGGAGCGGCCGCTGGGCGAAGAGAGGGCACGGAGGGGGAAGGCGGCGCGTTCGCGTTCCCATTTGGTCGTAGTAGTTGAGGAACAGAAGGTGCGGCCGCCCGTCCTCCTGCCCCTTCCCGCAGAGGTGGTGAGGACCGAAGAGCACGCACCTCGCAGAGCAGAGAGGGAAATGTGAGGCTGTTGCTTAAACGTAAATCGTTGTTGGACGTTCTCACCGCGATGGCCTAAGAACAGCGATCTAATTTTGTTCTTTCGAACTGTTCTGAGGAATATATATATATATATATGCGTGTGTATGTATGCGTATATATATCCTCCAGGTTTCAGTAGGCGTCTTTCTGCTGCTCATCATTACTGCTTGCCTTGATGTGACGTTGAAGACAGATGACAGCATTGTCAGGTTGTCTTTGATTCATCTGAAGACTTAAAAATAATAATAATAATAAAACACACACGAGGCTTCTTGCAATATCCAAAGCCTGAACGGCTTCGCTTTGTTCCACGCAGGGGACAGACGGGGTAGCTGCGAGAGGAGCGGGGACGGATTTCAGACATGAGGGCAGGAGGGACCCCGCGCAGCGCCCAGCGGTCTCTCCCCGGTCCGCGGCCGGAGGGGTCCGTATTGCAGCACCTGGCGGGCCCGGCTGGGAGTGCCGGCACCGGGACGGCCCCTCCGTGCTTATGCACAATCCGAATGCGCAACGCGCTCAAATTTCAACCCGGTCGCTGCTGCCTAAGCAGCGTACCTCCAGAGAGATGAGAGCTTTCGGTGCTAGGATCTGTCCTTTTTTCTTTTGACGCCTTTATACTTCTTCGCAACATTTTATTTTTATTTTTATTTTTATTTTTATTTTTATTTTTATTTTTTTTATGTGAAAAGGGAATCTGCCCCCAGCTGCCAAGAAGCGAGTTGTGGGAGAGCCCCAGTGGGGATTCGCCACCTCCTCCCCGGGCTGAGGGACCATCGGGCAGCATGTGAGCTCGGGGCTGGAAGTGAACGGGGCAATTCTCGTGGCCCGGATGGAAAGGAGAGCTGGTGATGCCGTCTCCAGATCTTTTCCAACTTCAGATTCGCTCTTTTTAGGAAGAAAAAACAAAATAAAACAAAACAACAAAACCAAAAGGCGCCCTACCGAAAGCCGGCAGTGAAAGCCAATAGTATAAAAGAAAGGCAGTATTTCCCTCCATCTTTTCTAAATGTAAAAGAGTAGAATTTGGTCTGTATTTCCAAGAACAGGAATGCACGTGTGCTCCTGTTCGGGCCAGCCTGGGCCTTTCCGGGCTGCGCTCGCCTGGGCCATCTCGCTCACACCCCACACGGTTCAGCAAAGTCCCAGCGCAGGGAAGCGGGGCTGCAGCGCTCAGGGCGGATTTGGAGGTGGCGGGGAGCGACTTCCCCATCCCACAAAAAGGGGCCTCCTATCGCTGAGTAAATCCCCCCCGTCGCAGAGGCATCCCCGTGCTCAGCTCCACCGTCTGCTTACTGCTCGGAAATGAGGAAGGCAAACATGTATGTGTGTGTTCGGTATCGACCTGCGCACACAAGCCAAGATACATATGCCCATATAGGCCGAGATATACTGCAGGAACTCCTTTGCTGTCTGTGGAGTCTGTGTTTTATTGTTTCATAAAACCAGCTTAATTACATTTCCCCATAGATAAGATAAACAGAACCCTTCTTTTCTAAGCGTCGCTTATCAGAAGTATTTTGTCGAAGCGGCACCCAGAGCGAGCCTCGCACAGCGCCGGGAAAGTCATTAATTTTTATTTTGGTTCTTCGGTTGCACTTAGCGTCTGACAGGAGTTGATTTAAATATTACATGAGTTTATCTTTAGTGTTCAAAAAAGATTTGTGAGGAAGATGAAACTGTTTAATTCAAACTAATGTATGCCTGACTCCGGTCAGATCGATCTGAGTTTGGGGTTGTGATGGGTTTTGCCCTTCTGTTGCTTGTCCTCCCGAGCTGGTTTTTCACTGTGAAATTACTTTAGTTCGGTGGCATGGACCAGCGGCTGCTGTCAGCTCCTCGAGCCATCCAGCTAGTCGGAACGGGAGAACGAAATAACAAACGCGGCCCTTTTACCTAAAAACGTTAATGTCCATAAGTCAATCTCCATTAGAAAAAATAGCGAATTTCCTAGATTAATATCAAAATCCTCCGTGACACTTGCCAGGTCAAATATTTAACAAGCCGGGGAAAGAGCCCTCCTTAGCACCGCTCTCCATATAAAATAAGCCGTTTCCATTTGTCATTAATGTCGCTGACAGTATCTGAGCAGAACGGCAATAATAACGTTAAGCGCTCATTTTATCACTCGCATCAGAACCCCTCGCGCACAACTTTCATAGCTGGGAGCCGCCGCGCTGCAATTAAGGCTCCGGCGCACGGAACTCCCCCGCTCTCCCTCCGACAGACCCCAACACCTGGCTGCTGACGGATTGCAGCGAGCGGAGTCGGAGGTGCAGCTGTTAGAAATCTCTAATTGTGGAGTACGTGCGGAGAAGCGGCGGTGCTTTTTGATCGCCGTAACGGCACCGGGCTCGCACGCCCCGATAGAGCCGCAGTGGCCCTTTCCCCGACTCGCGGGTGGCGGAGGGCCCGAAGCCGGGCTGTGGCAGGGCTGGGGCTGGGTTGGTGCCGCGCCGCTCGGCTGCCCGCCGATTCCTGCCGCCTCTCGGCCCCGCTCGCGGCCGATGCGTTTTATCAGTGAAGTTTTCTCGGTGCGGTTAACGGCGCTGCCCTTCTCTCCTTTCCCCGAACTCATCAGTTCACAACGAGAGCTCGTTTTACATTCCCCAAACCGGCGCTACGCGCTACTCCTTTTCCCATTTAAGGGGGTGGGGGGAAGGGAACCACCACTTGGTGAAAGCACCGAGCCGCTCCGTGCCGTTGGTGGAGCAGCGTTCCCAAAGAGCCGCTCAGCACCCGCCGAGCCCTGTGTTGCCCCGCTCCGAGCCGGGCCGACCCGAGCCGGGCCGGGAGAATGCCGGCCTTTCGTTAGCCGCCCGCTCCTCTCCGCTCTGCACGTTAACGCTAACTCGTACTGATTATCTGGAGTAAATGTATTAGACTAATTAGCATCTGGGCACCGCGGGAAACTTTGAACAGTAATTGTATCGCGGGGATGCGGGTGAAGGGAGGCAGGCCGACTCCTCGCCGAGCCCGGCCGCCGCTCGCCATGCGTCGGGCCGGCCGCGGGCAGGGCGCGGAACCCGGCTGTCCGCGGGCGCGGAGCCGCTCTTCCCACCGGTGCGGTGCAACGCGTGCGGTGCGGTGTCGGCGGCCGCTCCTGGCCGCGGCGGGGCTGTGCCGGGCGGGCAGCAACGCGGCCGGGGCGGCTCTCGGCATCACTCCCGGCTGCGGGCGATTTGCTGGGATCCTTCCTCCCCGGCCCTTCTTCTTAAAAGAAAAGCAGCTCCCAGAGCAGTCCAATTTTATTATTATTATTATTACTTTCTTTCTTTCTTTCTTTCTTTTTTTTTTTTTTTTTTTTTTTTTTTTTTTTCTACTGCGGTACAAACTGAAGAAAGAAGTTGAAAATAACCGGGTGAGATCAAATAGCGCTTCCCAATTACTTCGGAACTTCTCACTTAGAAAAGGAGATGAATGGTTACGCGTTACACTGTAAAAAGCTTTCGGATAATCTTCTTACTCTTTTACCAACAGTGCTGCCTTCCCCGCGTCTCTTCCTAAAGAAGGAACGCCGCCTGTTAATTGAAGCTCGTATCGAAAAGAAAACGGTTTTCACAGTAAAATGCTCTTTTGAGAGGGGGAAAAAAAAAAAAAAAAAAAAAAAAAAAGTTCATTTTCCTCTGGAAAGGGGCAGAGATGGCAGCGAACCTCAGCCTGCTCGATCCATGCCCACCAGCTCTACTGAAGGGGGGGGGGAAGATTTAAAAACAAAAAAACCCAACCTTTTCGTCTTTTTTTTTTTTTTTTTTTTTTTTTTTTTTTAAGAGAGCCCTGGGGTTGCAATAATAATAATAATTAAAAAAAAAAAACTTACTTTTCCTTCTTTCCTTTTTTTTTTTTTTTTTTTTAATAATTTTTAATTAAAATTGAATAAACGCTGAAGGAGAAAGTAGCGACCGCCTTTATCCAAGACCTACTCGGGTTTATAACAGAATCCAAGCGTATGAAAAAAAAAAAAAAAAAAAAAAAAAAAAAAAAAAGGAAAACCTCTTAATACATCAAATATACGGAATTTTAATCTTTAAAGCGATACATTGTCTATTTTAGTACATGACGTAAACCTTACTTAACCCTCGTTACAGGGTGGACTTAAAAATTAAAAATAGTTAAGTGTTCCTTTTAAAGAACAAAATAAGGCAAATGAGGTTTTTGGAATAGAATTGTTTTTGTCTTTCTTCCAGAATACATACAAAAAAATACCAATTCTCTTTCAAGGGTATACACCTTAAAAATAATTGCAATTTGAAATTATAACTGACAAATTGCGAGTTGTTTTTTTAGTAACAAACATGCATGTAAATTTTTTTTGTTGTTTCAATGAGACATTAAATAAGAACGTACGATACAATCATAGCAATTTTAAAGTAACATTAAAGAGAAGACCTCTATCTTTTTATTTATATTCTACAATGGGTGTTCCACTTTTACCTATTGAGCTCAGTTAAGTAATGCACTTTATGATTCGTTGTCCCGCTTGAAGCTAACATAAATAAATACAGTGCTCACGGATCCAGTCCTCAGATGAACACTATCGTATAAAAAGTCCCATTTCTGTTTTGTGGGTGTTTTTTTTTTTTTTTTTTTTTGTGGTTGTTGTTGTTTTGTTTTTTTTTCCTTGCCGACTTCCACCGAGTTCAGAGGGCTCCCTCCCTCCTTCCCTCCCTCCCCCTCCCTCCCGCCCGCGCCGCTCACTGGTAGCCCAGCGCCGAGGCTGTGGTGAGTCTCTGCCCGTATAGTGCGTAAGGGGAGTAGTAGGGTCCCGTGGCGGCGGGCACGGGCACGGGCGCGCCGGGGGTGGGCAGCGGGCTCTTGGAGTACGGGTGGTAGCGGCTGCCGAGTCCCAGAGCGTGGTGCGGGCTGCGCAGCGCCAGCGTGCCCGGGCTGCCCGGGGCGCCCGTGGTGGGGATGTGCATGTGGCACGCCATGGCCGCGGCCGCCGCGCTGGCCAGCGACGAAGAGCTGGGATAGCTGGAGAGGAGTTTATCGGTGCCCGGGAAGGCAGTATGGGTCCGCAAGTGGCTAAGCAGCTCCTCCGAGGTGGCGAAGCGCTTGTCGCAGGGTCCGTTGGCCGACACCCAGTTGCAGATGTGCGGCTGGGGGTCGTTGGGGAGCATGAAGCCGTAGGGGTACAGAGGGTGGCCGGCCAGCGAGGGAGGAGTGGCGCCGGTCAGCGAGGAGTGCACGCCGTGCAGGGGGTGCGTGGGGTACACCAGGGGGTATCCGGACTTGAGGGCCTGGTCGTGGGCACAGGAGGCGCCGGCTGCGCCGGCCAGGTGGCTGGCGCAGTGGTAGCTCAGGCAGTACGGGTCTCGGCACAGGCTGGCCGTCATCACCGACGGCGGCGACGCGCCCGCCAGCGGGCTGGAGCCGGCCGGCTTGCTGCAGCCCAGGCTGCCCGCGGCCGCCAGCTGGGCCCCCACCAAGCTGGAGGATTTGGTGGGGTCTAGGGCCACGCCGTGCGGCAGGAACTGCGGCGGGTAGCCCGCATACGCCCCGGCCAGCGTCCCCGGGTAGCTCATGCCCGCCGGAGGCAGTGGGAAGACGGTCTGGCCCGGCTTGTAGGGGGAGACGGGGGCCACGAGGCCCGAGCCCAGCACGGAGGCGGAGGAGGTGGCGGTGGTGCTGCTGCAGGAGGAGGCGGAGTCCGAGGCGATGGGCTTGGAGCCCGGCGCGCTCTCCTGGTGCTGGTTGACCTCCACGTTAATCCCGGCACAGCTCACGCTAATCCGGCCGTGGCCGATGCCAGCGGAGCCCGGGCCGCCCTCCGCGCCGGAGCCGCCGCTCTTGCCGCAGCTCTCCGAGTCCTTCTTGTCCTCCCCGCCTTTGCCCTCCGTCGGCAGCAGCCCAGGCGAGCAGGCGGAGGCGCTGGAGTTGGGGCTGCCTGTCCTTGGGGTGAACGGCTGGCAGGTGGCGCTCGGCACCCGGAATCCCGACTTCTCCCCAGCCGCGACCCCCGCCGCGGGGGTGCCCGCGCAGCTCGCCGCCCCCGGCTCCTTCTTCTCCGCGCCCGGTTTGGAGTAGGGCTTGAAGCTCGACTTGTCCTCCACACCGATGTCGCTGAGTTTCAGGGGGCCCGACTTGGAGTCCTTGTCGCCTCCGGAGCCATTGGAGGTGACCGAGGAGAGTTTGGAGGAAGGGGACGGGTCCGGCTTTCCTATCTGCGAGCAAGTTTGTGCCAAAAGGGCCAGGGGGCTTTTCTTCGCATCCAGCTGCAGGAATTAGACACACAACAACAGAGGTTTAATGGGGGAGTCCAATCAAAGAAAAAAAAAAAAAAAAAGAAAAAGAAAAAAGAAAAACCAAAAAGCCCGGAGCGTACCTAGTAGGTCTCTTGTCCCGCACGTTTTTGCAGGGGCCAGCCTGGAAGCGATGAACGATTTCGTGCGCATTCATCACCCTGACAGCCCCCTCCCCTGCATGCACCATTTTCCACAAAGCCTTTAAAGAGGGCTTGGGCTCGCTGGAGCAGTGCGAACACCCCCTCGGCTGCCCAGCGCCCACCGGGCAGCGCCCACCCCGCACCGACCCCCGCCTCCGGCGTGAGGGAGCCCTTGGGCCGCGCCAGCTGCCGCATTTCTGCGCCCTGACCACGGCCGCTATTTATAATCAGAGCCCGGAGGAGCCGGGCTCCGGGGGAGAGCCGTGCTTCGCTCCGCAGAGACCTCAGTGAAATCATTCATTCCCACGGACACACCCTTCTCACCACCCTCTCCATTTCGAGGTTCGCTTCCTAAAACAGCGAAGGGCCCCGATAGCGTGGAGAAAGGGAGAGCGGGGCCCCGAAGCCCCCAAAAGACGGCAAAGGCGGAGGGCCGAGCGCCGCCATAACCGCCCCGCGCCGCGCAGAGCCCGTGCCCGAGCACCCCCCGCAACGCCCGGCAGCTGCGAGCGTGGCCGGATCGTGACCCCGGAGCGGGGCGCTTCCTTCCACCCACCGCTCCTCACTCTCTCTCTCAAAAATAAATAAATAAATAAATAAATATTTTTTAAAAAAAGTATACACATACACATATGTATAATAAAACGTTTAAAAAAAATCAAAAGGAGTAAAAAAAAAAAAAGATAAAAAGAGCAAAAATGAAAGTTTATTCAAAAAAGAATCGCCAGGCAGCCGAGTAAACACGGAAACGAAGACCTCCTCGCACTAAGATCAAAGGCGCCCGTTCCCGGTGCGACCGCGACCCGGAGCGGAACGGGCGCGGGGCAGCCGCCATGCGGGGCGACCAGCGCACGGAGGGGCCGGGGCTGCTTACCTCGATGGGGCTGACGGGCGTGGAGGGGAGAGGCTGCAGGTACTCGGGGTGTAGGATGTGGCCGGTCCGCGCCGTGAGCATTTTCAGCACCTTGATGGGCAGGCGGTTGGCTTGGCGCAGCGGGTCCGAGGGGGGGACGGCGTGGAAGCAGGGCTTGACGGCGGCGCTGCCGGGGCTCCCAGCGTGCCCGGTCGGCCCGGCACTGAGGTCGGCGGCGCTGCGGCTGCGGCGGGGGCTGCCTCCGGGCTCGCTCAGGCTGCTGCTGCGCTTACTACTTCTGAGAGCAGAAAGCGAGGGCGATGTGATCATGACCCAAAACCTCGCATGAAAACTGGGGCAAGTCGCGCCGCTCGCACTCGGAAACGCTTGCTCGCTTTCTGCGGGCGAGAAGGGAAAAAATCCACACGCCCCCCGAGGAGGAAAACAAACATAAAATGTCCCGCGGCTCTTGCTGGCGGGGAGGGCGTGGGTGGGGAGGGGGGGGGGAAGGGGGAGCCGGCCGGAGAGAAAGAGGAGGAAAAAAAGCCGAGTAATCCGTGCGCTGCGAGGGGCGGGGGGCGCGGGCGGCTGCGCCGTGCCCGGCCGCTCTCGGCTCCCGGCTGCGGCGCGGGGCGGGCGGGCGGAGCGCTCGGCTCCGCGCTCAGTTGTGCTGCGAGCCGCTGCCCATCCAGCCCGGGGTCTGGCGGAGAAACTCACTTCAAAAGCAGCTGAATTAGTCTGAGATTAAAGCCTTTGCCGCCTTCCAATCAAATGGGACCCCGAGGTGATTGGAGGGTCAAGGGGATGTGACGTTCCCTTTTCTGGGGCTTTTTTTCTCTGTTTTTAATGGGCTCTCGCTCTTTTTTTTTTTTTTTTTTTTTTTTTTTTTTTTTTCCCTTTCTCGTCCGCCTCCCCTCTCCCCTCCCCTCCTTCCTTGTTTGCGCTCCCAGGACGGGCTGGGCGTTAATTCTGTGTTTCACATCACGCGCCGCGAACGTTTTTCTTCCTCCGCGGCCAGCGCGGCTCCCCGGGCAGCGGCGAAGGCGGCCGCGGGCCGACGGTCGCCGGCCGGGAAGGAGGCTGTCGCGGGGCCCCTCCGACCCTGAGAACGGCCTCGACGCGGCGCTCGCCCGATCGCGGCCCTCCGCCGCCTGTCCGCGCCGCGCCGCGCCCGGGCCCGGCCCTCGCCCCCACTCCCCACCCCGGAGCGGCTCCGCCGCCCCCGCCGGGCCCCGGGGAAGGGCGCGGGCCGCTTTCCGCCCCTCCCGGCCGACTGCGCGGGGACGGGCGCGGACGAGAACCTGCAGAGCTGCGGCCCTGCCCGCGGGAGCCGAGGCGCTGCGGCGCGGCCTGCTGCGGCGGCGGCGTCGCCGCGCGCTGTCACGCAGCGCCCGCCGCGCCGCGCTGCGCGGGTCCCCGCCCCGCCGTCAGCTGTCAGCGCTCCCCGCCGCCATCCGTCAGTGGCTTGTCAGCCCTGCCAATCCGCCCTGATTTATGTCAGCTTTTGTTGCTGATTACAAGCCTGGTGTGACTCCAGGGGGAGAGTGAGGGAGGAAGGAAAACAGAGAGAGAGCGAGCGGCTCCGCGGCGTAGAGCCGGAACTCGTCTTTCTGCGGGAACGGGCGGCGGGGCCGCTCTCCCCTTCCCACTCCGCAGCGGCCGTCTTGGCCCCGACGCCGCACCAGGGAGCGGGCGGCTCCGCGCCCCGGCCTGGCTGGGGGCCGCCTGCGCCGTTCCGGGTGCGCAGCGTGAGCCTTGCTTGCTGCCCTTCTGCCGCTCCCCGCGCCGCCCGCTGCTCTCCCCTTTGTACTTCCCGTCCCGCTCTTCCCCACCTCCTCATCCCGTAACATTTTTTTTTTTTTCCACAGGCAAAACGTGTTAATCAATCTTTTACTTTTGTTTCCGGATCTGACATGGTGGCCCACACAATCTACAACATTAACAAAAAGGTCACTTAGAGATAAAACACGTTTGACAAGTGAAGAACAAGGCAAGTGCTTCAGGGGTCGCGGCCAATTCCTGACCTGGACTCCGACCAGAACAGGCGCCGCTCGTGGAGGGGTGGGCGTGGGGAAGGACTTTCCCTGCTCGCTCTCGGCCCCGCCGAGCCCCGTCCGTCGCCTTCGCCTTCGCCTTCTCCTTCCCCTCACCGCCACCCCGGGCCCTGTGCCGGGCAGCCCCCCGCGGCCCTCTCCCCACGGGACGCCTTTCTTCTACGCCCTCCCCGCCCCCAGAGTGGTGCTCCGTCGGTCCCTCAGCCGGGTCAGCATCTCGGGTGGCTTTTATTGAACCGCTGCGCTCTTTGGCACGTTGGATAGAACGGGGCGATACGCGGAACTGCCCGCGCCTCCTAGAAAGATGATTTTAACAAACTTTTTAATTTCTGTGTGTTCTCTGGAATCGTGGAGCGTGTCGCCGGAACATGTCGGTGCAAGGCAGAACCGGGCTTCCATGTCACCGTGCCCGCTGTGTTCTTCTGAGGCCGTGACAGTTAAAGGATCGGGGGGCAGAGGGAGAAGCATCGCACAAAAGCTGCTGTTGCAGCGGGACTGACAGCCCGCACCGTGCCCGTAAGGAACTCCCCCTTCCTTCATACAGAGTGGAAGTGACTTGAATCTGCCCCAGGTTTTCCCCCCGTTCTTTCTTTTGTTGTCAAGTCCAATTGATAAATGGAGTGCAGTAAAACTCTGGAAGGAAAAAAAAAAAAAAAAAAAAAGAAAAAAAAAAAAAGCTGAAACCTTCATTTGTGTTCATTTGCATTAAAGTGCTTGGAACAGCTGTTTTCCTTACAGGACCAGAGAGACTCCTATCTGTTTTCTCGTTGTATTTATCCTGCCTCCCAGGGTGAAAGCTTAAAGATTAATTGTCCTAAGGCAGAGTCAGCTGCGGGCAGCCCCCCTTCCCTCTCCCTTCCCTACCGGCCCGGCGGAGGTGCGGGGAGTTCGGGAGGGCCCTCGGACTCGAGGCAACGGCGATGCCCGCTCCGTGTGCACGGCACAGCGCACCGAGGGGAGCAGGGACGGGCGGGGAGCAGCGCGAACCCGAAGCTCTCTGGCTGAGGTAGAAGCGTCGGAGGGTACTTTAATTAGTAACTTCAGAGAACAGCTTTTCTTTTTTTCTTTTTTTTTTTTTTTTTTCCGCCGAGCCTTTGAAATGAGGATTAAATCACACTCAGCACTGTAAACTTTTTATGTAGAAGGTTGTAAAATATATATATATATTTATAATAATAAAAAACCAAACAAATGCCGAGCCATCCCCTCCCCTCGCCTCCCAAAAGCTTTTCTTAGCCGCGACAGCTCTGCCTGCTCCAAACGCGCTCAGTGCGCGGCTAGAAGCGCAGTCCCGCCGCCGGGCTGCCCCGCGGAGCGCTGCGGAGCACTGTGGAGCTTGGCGGCTCTCTCCGTTCCCGGCTAAGGAATTCGGGCTCCGTCCTGCTCATTACCTTGCGAGGGATCCTCGTTTAATGAATCCGCGCAGCCGGGTTGCTGCTTGGTGCTTACTTGTGTAGTCTTGTTGAAGTTTGGGTGGCTGTAGCTTTTATTCTTCTTTAAAAATAATAATAAAACAACAACAACAACAAAAACCTGAGGGTTGAAACCCGTCTTCCTGCTCTTACAAAGGAAAATTGTAACAAAAAAAAAAAAAAAAAAAAAAAAAAAAAAAAAGGAGAGCAAAGGAGGAATTAATTAACAAGTGCCAGTCCACACTTTCCTTTACCTACCAGCTATTGGCAAGCATGTCAAGTCGATTTTATTTGCACACAATGGAAATGATTTATTTTCTCTTAAAAAGGAGTGGGCTGGCAGATATTTGAGGAGAAGAGAGCGAGACCGAGAGAGGAAAAAAAGTTTGAAAATGCCTTGAACTATTCACTGTCGAGATGGCTAATCAGTATTGAGGCTCGAGGGCACTCGGGCAGCTTTTCAATGCGGTTTTCCTTTCATCTCAAGCTGGATGGAGGCGCTCAATTAAAAGCCTATCAGTTTGTAAGTAAATCAACGCCTATCAAAGTTGTCACATCAAACAAAACGATTATTATTGCAGCCCGCCTCCCCTATTAATCTCCCTCTAAAATAATCCGCTTGACAGGTCAGGCTGGCGAGCTGCAAAGCCTGGTCGGGATCACCCAAAAACCCGGAGCGAGCCTTCCCCCGGGAGAGGGAACTGCAGCAGCTCGACACCAGCCCTGCTGGCTCTCTCCCTTGCCATTTCAGCGTCAGGTTCTGCACATCACGCTGGGAAAGGGCGTTCGGTCTTCTAAACTGAACAGCCACTGCCCTACAGGCCCTTGAGAATTTTTTTGTCTTCCCTTCCGCCCCCTTCTCCTTTCTATCGCTTGTGAACAAGGTTCAGCTTTCAATTAACAGAAACTCGGTTGCTGAGTTGTCCTTGTGCTGTATTTCTGTGCACAGCACAGAGTCTGTCCTGGGCGACAGTCTCCTTTGCTTTGGGAGTGCTGGAGCTTCCCCACCCGCCCCACGGCTCCTACAGAGGTACCGTGCATTGCAATGGCTTTTTGTGGATGATGCGTCTCCTTCCATAATTTTTTTTCCCCTTTCAAAAATGATAATACTTCTGATAAGGAACGTTCTGGTGTATTGGAAACACAGCACCACGAATTCACACACTTGGGAAGGACAGCCTGTTTTTATTCTTTTTTTTTCTTTCAATTTTTATTTTTTTCCCCCAGGTGAGCATGGGGGCACCCAGATAACAGCTGACACATCAGCCCAGGTACCCAGCCGAGGCGCGGGGCATTTCTTGTTGTCAAAGCCCTGCCCTGAATGCCTGCCAACAGAAAAGAGGATTTCCAAACCTCTCCTCTGTTTGCGTAGCGCTTGAAAATATTTACCCTTATGATTGTAATTACTTTCCTAATACATATGAGGAAGATATGTTTTGCGCTGCATGACACGTAGGTAATCGTCTTATAAGCGGGGATACATTTGGAGCCATCTTCAAAATAACAGTCACGTTTAAGTGCCTAAGATTCCCCCCCCCCCCCCCCCCCCAATGATATTTTTGCAAAACAAGCAGAAAATCGCTTTTCTGTTTGTTTGTTTGCTTCTTCCTTCCGGAAGCGGACCTTCTCTTAAATGCTTTCAAAGGAATTCGACCGGTTTTCTTCCCTTTGTCACGTCAAGAGAGAAGGAAGCGACGAACACACCCAATAAACCCTTTTCCTTTTAAGTCATTTGATAGATCCCTTTATTGATGTTGGGAGTTTCGTGTATGAGTGTGAAGGTTTTAATCTCCGTGCTGAAGCCCTTTCGCCAAGGGTGTTTTGCAGAAGTGCCCTCTGTTATGTTCCAGGTGTTGTCTGAGCGAACAGCTCTCGTTTCAAACCCGCCCTGAGGGAACTTTCTGGAGGGAGCGGGTGAAAGCAGAGCCAGGCGGCTCCGGCGGCGCGGCACGGGCAGGGCACGGCTCCTGCCTGGCGCATCGACATCCTCGGTTGCATTTCACGTTGTGCAATGTGCTACGACTTAAACCAGCAGCCGAAAGCGAGCGATCACGTTCCCTAATCCGTGCACGTGTAGTTGAGCTGGCGCTCGCTGCCTGGTTTGTGGGAACGAAGCTTTAGCTTCTGTGGCACCTTGCTCTTGCACACCCTTGAGTCCCACAGCTCGTCCGCACGCCTTTGTGCTCATCCACGCCAGGGCTCCGGGAGAGGCTGACCCGAGCAGCGCCCGGCGCCGGTTGGCTCAGCGCCGCAGAGCGCAGCGCGCAGTGGAGGCGATCCCGAGCTTCCTCCCCTAGGCTCCCAGACGTGCGGAGTGTTTATTGACAACTTTGTTATGGAAACTGTGCAGATCGGCCAGATGCGGCGGCGTTAGGAGCAGCGCCTTTTTCTGCGCGCCGCAAAGTTGGAGGGCTGTGGCTGGAAAAGGCACGGGCACCCCAATAATTAACCTCATCCGACAGCCCGAGTGACAAATGAACGA